TCAATCTGAGGGCCAGGGTGGTTCCGAAGTTCATGCTGTTCAGCACCAGAAAAAATCTTCGAGATCGACAAACTCGAGTCCTTCGAACGCCAGCGCTGTTTCTATCTCTAATCACTCTAAACCGGCTCAGAAGAAGCCCCCCTCGCCATGTTGGCACTGTGGAGCCTGGCATTATGTGAAGTTCTGTCCATTCAAACAGCATGTGTGCGATCGCTGTCAGAAAGTTGGTCACAAAAGCAGCTTTTGCAAATCCAACCGATTCAATAGCCGTCGAAATGCACAGACGCAGCGTCGTTTTCACAAAAAGCCAATTACCTCATCAAGGAGTTTAGCAGCAGTCTTCCATACTCATGCCGCGACTCGACGCAAATTTTTGACCCTCTCAATCAATGGTCAGCCTGTTCGTTTGCAGTTGGACACTGCATCAGATATCACCATTCTGTCGAAAAAGACTTGGCGAACCTTGGGTCAACCTCCCATCAAACCATCCTCTCAAACAGCCGTCAGTGCCTGTGGGGGTCATCTCCGCCTTCATGGTGAACTCTATTGCTGTATTTCATTCAGAGGTACAACCTTCAATGGGACATGCTACATCACTAATTCTCCGCTCGACCTTTAAGGTTTAGATTGGTTCGAAGAATTTGGTCTCGCTGATCTTCCTATTAGCGCTGTCTGCAATCAAGTCCAAACTACTGCTTCTACACAACAGCATGCTGAAGACCTTCGAAAACGATTTATTGAACTATTTAGGCCTGGTCTCGGACTTTGTTCCACAACTGAAGCTGTTTTAAAACTGCAGCCAGAAGCTACGCCAGTTTTTAGCCCAAAGCGTCCAGTCCCATACGCATCTTTACCTCTGGTTGACGCTGAACTTCAACGTTTGGAAACTGAAGGTGTCCTAGTGTAGTGGCATTGGACAATAGCCACACAATCCACAAAGCTGTGAACACGAGACTACTCAGAAAATAGATATTCAATATTTAACTCGGGGAAATACCTAACGATGGAGAAGGCGCGGATAGTGAATTGAATGGACTGGAGTTGATCGAGTGGCATGGCTCGGCCATGCAGGCGTGGTCTCTGGCGAATGTTACCTTATGTCTTCTATTCATATTAAATATATTGTTCTTTCTCTAGCCTAACCTTGTTCTACAACATGTATTGGTAATTGATGCGATACAGTGAGTTGGTGTAGTCGATGGTGTGACTTCCACGTAAGATCTTATAGATTAGGCAGTTATATCATGACAAATCTACAAATTTAGGATTAGGTCTATTATTAGAGCAGTACTAATATCATAGTAGACCATAATTCTACATTGGTGAGCCCAACTAAAGAAACGCAGTCCATTACTGTTTATCCTTATTTCCACCTTAACCTCAATCGGTTTTTATTTTTGTAAACCCAGTATTCGTATAGTCCTTTGATTAATGGTCACATATATTATCGTAATGTTATATCTATTAGTTCACATAACTTACTAGCTCAATCGATTATAAAAGTTGATCATCTATTTCAACTAATTAGCTTTGATGGTTCGTTAACAAGCTGTAATAGCATTTACATGCTTCAGCGACATAGTCTTGTTTAAACATCAAGCTCTAGCAAATATGACCTGTAAATAGCGTGAATATACATTGACTAACAATGCGATCAAGGACTAAATAGTTATCTGGATCTAATTCTCAGTGTTCCTTCACTTAACACCTCATCCTGTTTTAAACTATGCACTATCCTGTAATATCTTTTCTTCCGACCACTGCCTGCCTAATTTCATATTCTCGAGTTCCATTGCCAAACAACGAGGATGACTACTCCAAAAACATACGGTGAGTTTCAGCTATAAGTTTTCTGCAATCATTTTTAGATGGTTCGTTCAATGACAACCATACAATTATCTGGATTCATTCGATTGTTCTGATCCGAGCGAGTGTCAAAAACCTCAACAGCATCAAGCACCCTGGAATTAATTGCCATACTGCATGTTTTATTCTGGATGCTTTTGGATCAACACTACTCACGAATGGCGTTATATATGTCGTCCACTGAATAATCTAATTTTCAAAAATAATCAAGGCGAGTTCTACTATTTTACTGGATGATTTTTTGGTACTTAACATGTATATGTTTTCCAGTTGCTTGTGCCATATATTTGTAAGTGTCTCTAGGCTAAATGCAGGAATTTCTCATGGAAAGTTTATAATGCGTTACATTCCTGCTTGAAGTTTCATAAGCAGTCTTGACTTTAAAATTACTTTTCCTGGTCATGTTCATTATTTTTAAATTGTCATATACGTCAAGAACCTGCATGTTAACCTGACCCACACCCGCGTTGCACTATATCTTCATGTCTTCTAAATTTAGAAATCATCTGAATCGTCTTTAATATTTATCAGTAAACCCATCATAGTCGTTGTTGCTAATCGTATTTGGGTTTATGAATTGGTTTATCATATTACCAGCCTAAAATCCGAACATAGTTTAGATAATAAGATTAAAAATTTAGGTACTATCAACTGCACTAGTAAAATAACTAAATCCTCAGGTAGCCGTTGGCTAAACAAACGTTTAAAATCAAAACTCCGTAGCCTACTAGAATTAACACTAGACGAATATTTCTGAATTGAAATTTATAATTAAATTAGGCGTCTCGGATTCTTTAACGTTATAAATTTCTGATAACTTTGAATCACCTAAAGCAAAGCAACAATACCTATTTTTCCACTGACTAATCCTTATTCAACACTATAACTAGTTAAACATAATAGTTTCAGGATATCGTCATAAAGCATTGTCATGACTTGACAATCACGTAATATGACTGATAAAATTAATGAAACTATTATCGAAATCGGTCAACAAATTGGCTTATAATTACCATTAAATGGTGTTGTTTTCTTGGTATCTTGATCCATCACAGATGATTACAGTATGTTTCTCTATCAGTTGCTCATTAAGTAAATATCTCAAAACCTTGTCAGTCTTATTGATGGTTTAGCGACACAATCATGCATGCAAATAATCAGTATAAGCAGTCGAGGAAATCTGCAAACTGAAAACATCAATGTCGAATTTACCCCAACACTGACTAAGGTTCAAGCCATTATCATAGACATGAGTTGGGAGTGTACTCCCATTGGTTACAACTTATGTTCTCCCTGATAATCACATGAGCATCACTCACTATTAATCATCTTGTAAAAACTTATTTAGCTAAGTATATCTTGCAGCACCACATCACTTCGTAATATGACCCATAGGCTTAACTGATTTTAATAACCTATAACCACTATATCTCAATTAAATCGTATTCCGCCTTATGATAAACTGCATACTTGCAACTAACTTGTATGCCCAATCAGCCAGCAAGTATAAATATAAATAAATAGTCTGCCGCAGATCAGAACATTGAGTCTAGAGCATGTCTCTTACGAACACACTCATATTTAACGATTTGTCCCTAGCTATCTGTCCAAAATTCATATAATCATCACTCACGTATTTAAATTTTGTTTTGATAACCATTAATGTGTATTAGTAGTATTACTAAATTCTATCACGGTCAAGTAAAAATGAGGTTGAGAAAATCTCCCCGTAACTAAATAACCGTATCAAACTAACTGGAACACTAGTTGGAATTCTTCTCCACGGTATACTTTTGTTCCTTCAGTTAGCCTACTAATACAGATGCATTTGGAATTCAACTCATATGGACAACTTACCGGCATAATCGTTATTTGATTTCATAATTTAAACCAAAACTAATACCAATATTAATATTTCTACAACATTCATTACTTTAATACTTCTAAACACAAAATACTTACTACCTATACGTTAAGTTATTAACCAACGGCTATTAGCACGCATCGTTGTATTATTATTATTGTTATGCCATTCTTTATAGTTCAAACAATCTTCACCCAAATTCTCATTTCAAGCGTTTTAAGCATGAAGGCAGATATTTTAAAATTATTACATGTATTTCCCGACCAGATGCTGCCGCTTTCTTTTTGATTTATCTTTCAGCTTACCAATACCCGGAGGATTCTTATTATCCTTGGTAACCTCCGGCGCGCGACGATCCCATCCAATTTGGTATCGAACCAACATCACGTTGATTCTGGTGGGAGAGTAGTGTAGTGGCATTGGACAATAGCCACACAATCCACAAAGCTGTGAACACGAGACTACTCAGAAAATAGATATTCAATATTTAACTCGGGGAAATACCTAACGATGGAGAAGGCGCGGATAGTGAATTGAATGGACTGGAGTTGATCGAGTGGCATGGCTCGGCCATGCAGGCGTGGTCTCTGGCGAATGTTACCTTATGTCTTCTATTCATATTAAATATATTGTTCTTTCTCTAGCCTAACCTTGTTCTACAACATGTATTGGTAATTGATGCGATACAGTGAGTTGGTGTAGTCGATGGTGTGACTTCCACGTAAGATCTTATAGATTAGGCAGTTATATCATGACAAATCTACAAATTTAGGATTAGGTCTATTATTAGAGCAGTACTAATATCATAGTAGACCATAATTCTACACTAGTACCTGTTTCTTATTCATCATGGGCTGCACCATTTTTGGTTGTAAAAAAATCCAACGGCTCCATACGCATCTGTGCAGACTTTTCTACAGGACTCGACGCGGCTCTACAACAGCATCACTATCCGCTGCCGATCCCAGATGACTTATTTACTATTTTAAATGGTGGTACCTATTTTGCTAAGCTGGATCTAGCAGATGCTTACCTTCAAATTCCAGTCGCTCTAGAATCCAGAGAGTTGTTGACAATCAACACTCACCGAGGACTTTTTCAGTATACCCGATTACCCTTCGGTATCAAAACTGCTCCAGCGATCTTCCAGCAGATCATGGACACTATTCTGGCAGATGTTCCTGGTGTTGCTACATACCTTGACGATGTGCTCATTGTCGCCTCAACTGTTTATGAATTGCATACCAGAACGCACTTAGTTCTGCAACGCCTCCAGGATAATGGTTTTCGCCTTCGCCCAGAAAAATGCCAATTCTTCTTACGTTTCGTTAAGTACCTGGGGTTTATCTTTGATGCTTCCGGACGACACCCTGATCCTCAAAATACTTACGCAATCCAACAAATGCCTGCTCCCACTGATGTCTCCTCACTCCGATCATTTTTGGGGATGATTAGCTACTATTCAGCATTTCTTCCATCACTGCATGACGTACGATATCCATTAAATCGTCTGCTAGAAAAGAATGCTACTTGGAATTGGTCAACGCAATGTGAGTCAGCCTTTTCAAAACTTAAAGCTATGCTAAGTTCCAATCTTCTGCTAACCCACTACAATCCGAAACTACCCATTGTGGTTGCTGCTGACGCTTCAACACATGGACTGGGTGCCGTAATCTCACATGTCTTTCCCGACGGGTCAGAGAAAGCGGTGATGCACGCTTCGAGAACACTAACACCTGCTGAGAAACGCTACGGCCAGATAGAGAAGGAAGCGTTAGCCCTAATTTTTGCTGTCCGGCGATTCCACAAATTCATTTATGGGCGCCGTTTCACCTTGCTCACAGACCACAAACCTTTGTTATCAGTCTTTGGATCAAAGAAAGGCATTTCTGCCCATTCTGCTAATCGTCTTCAACGTTGGGCGTTGGCGTTATTGGGGTACGACTTCGACATCCAGTATCGACGTTCCGAAGATTTTGGTCAAGCGGATGCACTGTCCAGACTTATCAGTAACCATTCTACCACTGATGAGGACACACTCATAGCCATATTATCAACCGAAGAGGATTCCGGTGCTACACTATTGGCGAATGCCGTTCGAGCAATCTCTGTTACCGCTGAAGATGTTTGGGAAGCTACCAGAGAAGACCCGATTATCCAAGAAGCGATCACCTATGTTCATAGCAGATGGCCAGTTAAGCAGCTGAGTGGTGATATGCAACAACTAGCGAATCGTCGCAGCGCTCTCTGTATTGTTAACGATTGTCTGATGTTCGGTGATCGCGTATTAATTCCAACAACCCTACGTTCCAAAGTCCTACGCCAATTCCACTCTGGACACCCAGGGATAAACCGTATGAATTCCATCGCTCGAAGCTATGCATATTGGCCAAATATGGACAAACAGATTGTCGACTTCGTCAAAAGATGTTCACATTGCCAAAAAGCTGCGAAAAATCCTCCTAAGTTGCCTCCAGTACCTTGGCCGAAGTCAGAAAAACCCTGGTTGCGAATGCATATTGACTTCACCGGAACCCTAGATGGTACCACATATCTGATACTGGTTGACTCATACTCCAAATGGCCGGAGATATTGCCGATTGCGCCACCCTCTACAACTCGAACCATCAAACTCCTTAATCGGATCTTCGCTCAGCATGGTCTTCCAGAAACAATAGTAACAGACAATGGTTCACAATTCACATCTAGCCAATTCCGAGAATTTTGCCTGCAAAATTCGATCAACCATGTTCGTTCTACGTCATATCACCCGCAATCTAATGGACAAGCTGAAAGGTTCGTTGATACATTTAAACGAGCCATGCTTAAAGCACGAGGGGAGGGGACCACAGAAGATATCATAGAACGATTTCTAGTTGCGTACCTGACGACCCCGCATGACTTATTGCCAAACTCCAAATCCCCTGCTGAGATGCTTATGGGGCGAAAACTACGGACAGTTCATGGTGCGATGAAACCCAAGCAAGTGGCCCGGCAAAGCCCCTAGATGAAGAATACTCGAATTCCCTACGAAGTTGGTACAAAAGTGTATACGCGAGATTATAGACATGGATGTGATAAATGGGTAGAGAGTGAAATCACAAAAAAACATGGGAACGTCATGTATGATGTCAAGGTGAACCAAGAAATCTGGACCAGGCACCACAATCAATCCAGGTCAAGGGAAGCGAAGGACAAAGAAACAATTACAAAACACGTCCCACTCGACTTGCTGTTGGATACGTTTCAACTTCCGCCAATACCTCCAACAGAGACGACTAAGTCATCTACTCAAGTAGAACATCCTTCTGGTTCTGTGTGGTTGCCTCGGAGGTCGGATCGCAAAAGAAGACACCCAAAGAAACTTCAAGTAAACCCTCGGTTACGTCGCTATTAACTTTTCCAAAGGGAAGGTGTTGGGATACTCAGAAAAATATCCCAGAAACAATTATCCGGTTAAGTCTAACGCTACCCTTGAACGTTAAATGGTGTCATTTCCCTATTGGTCGTTTCCCTACTGATCAATATTTAGTTCGCATGTCATTTTCCTATTGGTCAATATTATTTAACGTGTCATCTTTCTGTTGGTCAATATTTATAGTAATCCTAACTGTATAAATATGCATTTGTTTGTAAGTCATTATTCTGCTGCTCCTGACCCCATAAACGATTTTTCATCTACGGTTCGTGTTCTGATATATTGGAGATTGGGAACAGTATTGGGTTCGAACTGGGATATCTGAAGCTAGTCAATCGGTGGAATTTAGAGTAGCCAACTCACGATTCACAATAGTTCTGTTCCGATTTCCGTTGTTAATTCTAATACTAATGAGTGCGTTCTAGATAATACAGGGTATTTGTCCAATACAATGTCGGACAGACACAGGATGAACTTAAGAAGAAGACGTACAATCGATTACAGATGTTTATACTCCAATTTAAGCTGCGGCGGATGTGGTATTTGAATGAACTAATGATTCACTTGTACTTGTTGAATGCTTGATTTCGAACTCCAAATACCATATTTGCAAAATATTTTCGCCATTATGGATTTTCAGTTTACATCAAATTGAATAGTTCAATGCAAATAAACAAAATAACACCAGAACATTTAAGAAATCAAACAACTTAGTCGGAAGTTATATCAACACAACTAACTTCATATTGCTGTGATGGACAGACATTCTTTATTACAAAAAATTAATATGAATAGATAGAAGAGATAATGATTGAGATTGTTAATGAGTTTAAGAATGTGAAGTTTAAAAAATGATCAACATAGTATCAGGTCATTTTAAATAAACATATATATTCAAATAATACACGAATCGTTCCTTGAACAACAATCTTATTTTTAAAATATATAACACTTTGCCAAAAACAATATTGATCAATATGAGATGGTCCAACAATCAAAGGACGGAAAACAAAATGAATATTTTGTTATAGTTTTTTTATTTAATGCAACGGCGTAGCACGGCGTAACATTCTGCAATGTGTATTTTTGATTAATGTATTATTTATTATTCATGAAGTGAATAAAGTACAAAACAAGATTGGAGCGACTTTGCCCACAAATCAGACAAACGACAGTTAAATAAAGAAATGCTCAGAAAACAAATAGTGCAAATGATGTACAACCCATTATCACGTAGATGTATATTAACATAATTATAATAGTATTTGTTCAAGTTTTTCGGATAGCATCTTGAAATTGAATAGTCGATCAAAACATTTGTATAAGAATGTGTTTTCTTGTGTTTTAAAAATTTCTTTTTATGCCTGTGAGCAGAATTTTAGAATGATCGAAGAGAAGAGAACGAGAACAGAGAGTGATTGATGTGGAAATGAAGAAACATTTGAAGTCTGAGTCGATTGATTGATATTTTGCAAATGAAGTGTTTACTGTATGGTTTTCAGATTTTACTATGACGTTTTTAATTCTGTGTGTAAACCTATTCGATTATCTCTACACGCGTTGTAAACATTGTTTTGAAGTAGATGAACATCATGCTTTACTCTTATATGTAGTGATATTTGTGTGTCTATAATCAATGATCTAGACGGATCATGATTTATTGATAACAGTAGGATATCATACATAGACGAACATATTTAAAAAGACAGGAGTACTATTTGTGATAAGAATGACAACAGTTTGATTACCTGTTTTGTAATGGAAAGTAGATCAATGACGTGTAAAATATGGATGATGATGAAGCATGTACAAAAACTACGAGACCACGTCATAATTAGATAATTAGACAATGGTGCTTATATTTTATGAAAAGGTGATGAAGAAAACTAAACAGACGGAGAGTATGGAAAATAATAATAACTCTTTTATTAAGGTTATTTTGGCTGAAAAGATGACAAAGTGTCAAACATTTCGTAAGAATATAAAGCCTATAGTTATTAGCTCGAATTTCTATAGCAATTTCTGCAAGAGTCGTGAATGAACTTAGCGAGAGAAATAAGCAGGAATATAATAAATCATTTTAAATGTCTTATTTCTATCTGCTACATGAGCGCCATCGATCAAGTGTGACAGAACAGGGCTGCATATTGATTTGATGATACTCTTTCCTAACTACTAACGGAGGTGTTCACTAACTCCTTGGCTGATTTGTATGACTGTGCGTCCAAATTTACTTTCTCCGTAGGAGAGTTTGAATATTTAGATACACATAGATGAGGTAGAACCAGGTAAATTATTCTTTAGTTGGGGAATCACTACTGGTCGAGTCACGAACAAATGACAAGATTTAGATGAAATAAAAGTTCAGGTTAATCCGTCATCATCTGCTATATCACCGTTTAATTATAGCTTGACGAATGGAGGTTTCCTACAATCTGTTGATATTGCGACTTCCTGTTTAATACGATCCAATGTCCCTTCAAAAAACTTTTGCATAACTGATTTCAATCAACAGACTGTGAATAATCTCCAGTTCATGGATTATTGTGTACATCGCATTTTTGAAAACGATTTCATGAAATTCTTTCATCTAAATTGTTAAGTACTTACTGTTAGTCAAATAAATCGATGTAAAGTGATGAGTCCCATTCAGCAGATTGTCAAATAATGATTTCTAGTGTCACTAATCCGTCAGTACACTGATCTATATGAAATTCACCTTGTCTTTATCAAATATGAACATTTTTTAATCTTTTGCTCAGTTCAACAATACTCTGTTGAAAACTGTTCCTGGTACTGATGGTAGTTTCTTATCCTAGTAGTTCTCACATTTTTTGAGGTCTTCATTTGACATCTTCGTTAGGGATGTTTCTTTACAGTCTCCCTGCACTTACTCCTCCTCACAAGTCTTTATGAACGTGCAGCATCTTTGTAATTACTACTGTGACGTTCCGTACTTCAGCTTTCTTTAACTTACACTGTCTGATAACTCAGCTGATTACTTGGATAGCTGGTGCAGTAACATCTATTAGAGAGTCTTTTTGCGCTGATCTGATGTCCAGTGTGTAAAGAGGACCAAATGAAGAGCTCTTAGAATTGTTCTTTCAATTTTTCCTACTATCCTTGAATCTCAGTGATTGATTTGCCTCACTCGTTCGTGACTGTTCTTTCTCTGTTATAAAACAATCTTTTGAGTTTGTTTTTTGTTCCATAACGTTATCCCATATTGCTCTCAGGAGTCGTATACCTATATTTAATTGTCGGCTGCAATACTCCTCTTCACTTGCTTATTTTCTCAATTCGCACTGTGTACAACTTCGTACTACGTTTCCATGATGTTCTACTATCCACACTGTCAAATGCGTTTTTATAATTGATGTTGATGTTAAATGACGAGGATCACGCAATTGCTTGTTCATCAATGCTCTGTTGTGTCACGGTTTGATCGGTCCACTTCCACTCCTTACGAAATCCGGTCTAGTGATCTCGAAGTTGGACGTCTTCTGAATCTTTCATTCAGATCGACAACACTCTTTTGAAAACGTTTTCTGGTAATGATAGTATTGTGATGCATCTGTAGTTCTCACATTCGTTCAGATCATATTTCTTTGGTGTCCGTCTTTGAAGTCCGTCGGCACTTATTCATCCTGCCAAATCTTCTTGAATAGAAGGTGAATCGTGTTTGTAGTTACTTCACTGTCTGACTTCAAAACTTTGGCTGGTGTAATTTCAGGACCAGCTTTCCCAAACTTGATTTTTCTGATGGCTATTCTGATTGATTCTGTCGTTCGTTGAGTGACATCTATAGGAAGATATGCGTGTGCTGCTTGAATATCCGGTAGAATCAGTGGGTCTAAATCATTCGTAAGTCCCCCAAAGCGTTCTGCCCTTTATGCTCTTCTGTTCTTCAATTTCATTGATTGACTTTGTCCCTGACCGGTCTCTCTGGTTTACTAAACTTTCCTGCCAGTTTCTTCGTCGTGTCACTTAGTTGATTCAAAGTTCTTTCTCTTTCGGCTTTTTCAACTGCCAGTGATAGGTCCTGTAGTTATGTCTGTTTGTTGGCTCCGATTCTTCTCTTTACTTGATTTTTTTAGTGTATTCAGCTTGTGCTTAGACATTCTCTGTTCTCGTTAATCTGTTGTTAATCGCTATTTTGTTCTTCTTTGGTTAAATCTAACACATGGTTTCAATGGAGGTACATTCCTCATATTGATGTTGAAGGAGGTGCTTCTTTAACACCATCGTTGTTTTACACCGTAGTTTACTCTTCTTTGAATTGGTTCATTAATTCTTGGAACCTGTCGTTGATAGTTGTTGTATTTCAACTTTGTAATGCTGTTTCTGTAATTGCACAGTGTTTCCTCAACTTCAGTTTCATCTTGACAATCATCTGGTGGTGATCTGAAGTTATGTCAGTTTCTCTCCTGATTCCCACTTCTACCAATAACGTTTTGATTTTTTTCCAGATACAATTATGATCTATCTGGTACTATGTGGTGTGACCATATGAGATCCATGTACCATTTTTATCCAGTTTCATGAATTAATAGTAGATCCCTATATTCAAGTTTAAATCGCGATATAGA